TTAAGGCCAAATAGTGCTGGGATTCCCTATACATTACTCTTAAGGATGGAGGCTTTGGGGTTTCCAACTTTTGGGCTTCCACTCTATGGGTTCAGGAGGTGCAAGATATACGACAATTTCGACCCATCTCGAGCCGAGGCCCGGTCTCCATTTGTTTAACTAATTCAGTCAAGAACCCAAGGATAGGACTCCTAACAACAACCTACGGTTGATGATATAAATCCTGCATGGCCCATAATAAGAAATATACCATAATTCCCATAGTTTCGGGTCCTTAAGGTAATGCAGGATTTATATCATCAACAGTAGGACTCCTAACAACAACCTACCACTTGTTGTTGTAGGTTCTTATTCCGTAAGCCCAAAGTACAGGTAAGGTACAGACTGTAGACTTTAGGCTCCAAAGCTAGGATGCCCAGGAGTACCCTTATTCCCTTTTTGCAGCCCTAGGCTCCCTGTAAAGTTACCCAATACCAATAAGGGAGCCCTTTCTATTCCTAGGTTATTGGGCATCCTAGAAAGTAGGTGAGATTTGTATACGTGGAGTCGTAGCGCTTGTGAACCCTGATACAGAAGTACCCAGATCCTCCAAAACCCTTAATTAAGGAATATACCTTAAAGTATAATAGGATCCCTAATATAATTTAAGGTATATTCCTTAATTAAGGGGTTTTGGAGGCTCTGGGAAGTATATGGGGACCCGACATTCGCCGAATCTAGAGCAGAAGGCCCAAAGCCAGAGGCTCCGACACCCTACCGTGTAGGATTTCGGTTTAGGGCTTCAGGGGTTATAAGGGTTTAGCGGTTTATGGCTGAGGGTATAGCCCAAAGGCTCCATGTACCTTTATAGTAGATACTTAGGCCTTAAAGGGGTCCCTATATAGGTACTTTGAGGCCTAAGTATATACTATATGGGTACATGGAGCCTTAGGGTAGGGCGTAGGGGCCCTTCTCTCGAAACCAAGCCGCGTGCCCTGGGAGGATGCTAGCCAGGATGCGAAGGCTCTGATTTTCAGACCCGAACCTGCTTTGCCCAGAGCCTCCAAAACCCCTTCATTAAGGAATATACCTTAAAGTCATATTAGGGATCCCTAATATAGTTTAAGGTATATTCCTTAATTAAGAAATATACCTTAAAGTCATATTAGGGATCCTAATACAATTTAAGGTATATTCCTTAATTAAGGAATATACCTTAAATTATATTAGGGATCCTATGATACTTTAAAGTATATTCCTTACTTAAGGAGTTTTGGAGGCTCTGGGCGTTGCTCTATGCCAGGGTTTTGGGACTACACTCTAAGGGTCCATGCACACAAATAGTGAAGGGTCCTTTAAGGGTACCATAAGGGATCCTTTAAGGGATCTATAAGGTTCGATGAGGGTTTAGGGTATAAGGGTCCATGTACTCATATAGTATATACATTGGCCTTAATGTAGTCCCTATATATATATATATGTATATATATATATATAGGTACTTTGGGGCCCATATATCTCTATATGGGTCCCATATGGGTTCATGGACCCTTGGGGACAGGGTAGTTGCGGGGTTTAGGAAACCGTACACTTATGTGTTTGGGGTTTTCAGCTTAGGGTTTAGGGTGCTGCTGTTGATGATATAAATCCTGCATTACTCTAAGGACCCTAAACTATGGGTATTATGGTATATTCCTTATTATGGGTCATGCAGGATTTATATCATCAACCGTATAGCCACTACCCGAGCCCAGATCCCGAACCCCAAACCTCTATGCCAACACCCCCGAAGTCTAGACCCTCAGTCCGTGTAACTCTAAGCCGAAAATCCGAAACCCCAAACCCAACCCTAAACCCCCCAATGGATGGCTGTTTTTATAGGCTTAGAGATCCACTTTCATTTTTGCAGGGGACGGGGCGGGTGGGGTTGGGGGGCTCTATGTCGACCGCCAGTCTGGCAAGTTGAGCTTTTCGGGCTTTTCAGCCAGGGGACGGCCTAATTGCGCCTCGGATCCCAGGGGTGCTCAGGGTTTAGGGTTTATTTGGGGTTTTGCTAAGTTTGTTCTTTGGGCGGCGGGTGGGGGTGGGTGGGTTGAGCTTATTCTGGGGGCTTGTCGAAAAACGTTAGGGCTTATTTGGATGCATTTGAGGCTTCGGGACCCGAGTACGCAGTCCTAGAGAAGACTCGCTAGGACCGCTAGGATGGTTTTGTTCATAAACAGCAGAAGCGGCGTCTGTTTTTTTGAGAAGCGGGTAGGCTGCATTGGAGAGAGCAGGTGCTCGGGAAGATTGTAGCACAGAACCTCCGAACATATTCGGTATCGACTCTGGCTTCGTTTTGGATTCCCACAGGTCTCTAAGCACCTATACAGACCTAAAGTGGGGAAGTTTACCCAAACCAAAGTAGTAAATCCTGCTATACCATGCAGGCATATACTTTAGGACCCTTGGTCCCGGGAAGCGATCCGTGAAGCGTGACTCCTGCGTTTGCAAGGAGCCTGGCCAGTCTACATCCTCACCCCAACAGAACGCAAACCTGAGCTTTTTGGATCATAAACCCTCAACTTCCTAAACCCTTACTCTATCCCTCCAAGGACCTCATAGTTAGGGCCCTATAGACCCCTTAAGGACCCCATAATAAGGTCCCTGGAGGCATAGGGTTACTCTTGCAAAACCCCCCAAGGGTCCAAGTACCCAATAATCATATACTCTCCAAAATCCTAACCTACATAACTACTATCCTAAAACCCAGTACCTAATTATTGGGTCCTTTGGACCCTTGGGGAACCTTAAACCGTAAACCTTGGGTACGGCCCCCACTCAGCAAAGTTGAAAATAGTAATAATTAGTCATAATATAGATATATTAGGACCTTAATAGTAGCCGTATTATAGACTATTAATGTATGGGGGCCGTACCTAACGTAAACCCGAACGAAGGCTGCTGCCGTCAACGGCTCCGCGCCCAAAGCGGGCGGCCGACTTTCAGGCGGAACCCAAGGGTTCTGTTTCGGGTTTAGGGTTTGGGGGGTTTAGGGTTTAGGAGGTTTAGGGTTTTAGGGCTTCTAGAGTTTAGGGCTTCTAGTTTCAGGGTTGAGGTTTTAGGGTTTAGGTTTAGGGTTCAAGGTTTGGGGGGTTTAGGGTTTCGGGTTTAGGGCTTGGGGGGGTTTAGGGTTCGGGGTTTGGGGGTTTAGGGTTTAGGGTTTAGGGGTTTGGGGGTTTAGGGTTTGGGTGTTTAGGGTTGGGGTTTGGGGTTGTGTAGAGGGTTTCGGCTTTACCAAGGGTGGAGGCTCTGGGCTCAGGGTTCGTCAAGGGTGAGGGTTGTCCGAAGCAGTGAGGTTCCATGAAGGTGGTTGTCAATCTTAGGGTCCCTTTTTGGGTCCTTATTATAGTACGGCACCTAATATTCCTCGGGGTACTTAGAAATATTTTTTAGTCTTTTGTGATTATATTCCGTAAGAAACAGCTAAAATCATAATTTTCTAGGGTTCTAAGTTCAGTATAGTATTTAGGTTACCCAAAGAGGGACCATAATTTTGACAACCACCCCATGGGGCTTCTGCTAGGTTTCTACAGGGTTCTGCAAGGTTGTCGATGAGGTTTGTGGTAGGGGTCTCGAGGAGTTTCTGGGAGGGTTGAACAGGGTTCAGGGTTCCTTGCTTGAGGCCCATTTCCCCTCAACTAAGGAAGGATTCTACCTTTGGTGTCGGGGTTGAGGGTCCAAGCCATAGAGTTCAATAGTTTGAGGTTACAGGGTTACACCTGGACCCTGAAGCGAGGTGTTGTCGGATAAGGCAAAGCTAAAGTAAGTCACTGAAGTTTCAGTTGGCGCGAGGTTTTGCCGTGCGGGGTTTCGCGAAGGTCGGGATTTGCGACAATATTGGGGCTCATAGGTGTGATTGGACTTGCTGGTGTTTCTAGCCATATGGGTAGTTGTCAAAACTATGGTCCCTTTTTGAGTAGCTTAAATATTAGGTGCCGTATTATAATCAGGAGCCAAAAAGGGACCATAATTTTGATAACCACCCATATGCCCTAAACCCTAATCCCGAAACCCTAAACCCTCATCCCCAACCAGTAAACCCAAAGTCCGTTTCACATAGCCGTACTACGGCTATTTTCAATAACCCAATTGCCCCGCCCTGAACCCTTCCTGGACCCTGAGGAACCTACCTCTTCTGGGACTATACTGCTTATAATTTATAAATGTATAGTGGAGAAACCATAAGAAGAAACCTACCGAAGAAGGACTTGTAATCATCAGGAACCCTAGAAAGGCAGGTTATTCAGGGTGCAGGTAAGCCCTATCAGTCATACGGTTGATGATAGAAATCCTGCATGACCCATAATAAGGAATATACCATAATACCCATAGTTTAGGGTCCTTAAGGTAGGGATGTATGTCATCAACAGTACCTGTCTTCCCGCATGGCGTTGGAAGCCCTTTGCAGCTCAAATAACTCCCTGCCCCAGAGCATTTATTGCCGCAAGGGTCCATGTGTCGACATGGCCTATGTTTAAGCCTTAAAGGGCCTCCTATGTACATGTCTTTTGAAGGCCGAAGTGCATACTACATAGATAGGGACCCCTAAGCAGTATAGAAACCCTTACAAATCCCCCCTGACTGTAAAAGCTCTTGCAGTGAACCCTTAGAGAAAAAGGGTGCTCGGAAAGGGGCCCTTAAAGGAATCTTTGTAAGGCGCCTTTAAAGGACCCCCCCAAAGGAACCCCTTAAACCGAACCCTTAGGGGCTTTGATGTTTCCGAACCAGACAGCCGAAACACTTGAGTCCTGACGGCTCCAGGTCGGCTTGATTTGGCAGAGATCATGGTTTGGCTTACGATGTAGCCTTTAGCGTACCAGACGTCAGAGTATCACTACTCTTTTCGATTCCTTATCATAAGTACAGCACAATATTTCGCCAAAACCTGTTCTTATTATCAAAGATCAAGCAGCTTCTATTCGTAGACGGTGGAGCAGAGGAAATGGCGCCGTTTCCTCCCTCCAGCGATTCCTGTGATAATGCTGCGCGTGCACCGTGTCTCGGGAGAAGAACTGGCTTCTGTTCCCCTTCATTCGGCACCTGACGGAAGGAGACGGTACCCAAAGACTCCCAAGATGCCCTGAAGCCAAAAAGCTCCAATACATCCCTTACATTCGGCACCCTCGACCCTAAACCCTGAACCCTAAACCCTGCCAAACCCTAAACCTCAACCCTAGACCCTAAACCCTAAGCCTTACCAAGCCCTAAACCCCATGAAGGAGTCTGAAACATCAGCTTTCTGGGCTTTGTGGGCTTCCGCGATTCAGGCTGAGAAAGACTGTACCCAAAGGGTCCAAGTTCAGTATAGTATATACTTTGGGGCCATACCTACTACGTGCCTACTACAATGGTACTTGGACCCTCTGGGGTATGAAGATTCGGCCGGTTGAAGAGCAAGTTCAAGAAGGGACTTGAGAACATGCTATTGCAACCATACAAAAACAACCATGCAAGACACTTTACCGAAAATCCTGTAGCAGTTTACAATCTTGGGGTTTAGGGTTTAGTGGTTGGGGTTTAGGGTTTGGGGGTTAGGGTTCAGGGTTTCAGGTTTACACGGCACGCAGAACCAGGCTGAGGCTCATGCACGGGCTTGCGGAGCTCGAAGACGATGCAAAGATAGAGACGCCCATGGACCTGGAGCTGGTTGTCTTGCCGTTTCTAGGTCTTCCACTTCCTGGGGTGTATAGGGTTTATATTGGGGATGAATAGGGTAATCTCAGTAAAGTGCCAGTAAGGCACTATAAGACCCGAGAAGACTATTCTAAAAACACATAGAATCAAGCCATAACAAATCGGTCCTAGGTTTATAGATCCTTAACTAGGCCTCCCAGTGGGCCCTTTGTTTCTTTTTTGTAGTCCTAGGTTCCATAAAAAGTTATCCAATAAGAAAAGGAGGCCTTTTTAGTCCTAGGTTACTGGGCATCCTAGTTAAACACGGCCAAGGTTTATCGATGCTACTTCGATGCAGCTCTTGGAGCTAACGTCGGCTGCAGAAGGTGGTGAGGCCTCTCGCGTCGAAGAGCTGCTGCAACGACCCCAGGACCCGACGCTGGGCTCTTCTTTGGAAACTTCACATAGTAAGTGGACTTGTTTGTGTGTTTATCAATGTTCACAATTATACACATGTATGTGTTTTAATGCAGCATATCTATGCCTATACATAATTTAGCACATCTATGCCTATACATGTTTCAGGCCCTCTACATTTATGTGTGTGTGTATGTATATATATATATATATATATATATATGTGTGTGTGTGTGTGTGTCTGGGTGATGTGGTATACAATAGACAATAAATCATATGCTACAATGAATGACGTTCTTGACAACCTCTAGCCGTTGAAAGCTCGTGTTGTTACGAAACTTAACCCAGAATCCTAAGCCTTCAACCCTAAACCCTAAACCTAAACCTTGCCCCAAAAGCCCCATTGCACTTAAACCCAAAACCTAAGCCTAGAACCTGTCACCAGAAAGAGGGACCCTAAACCCTAAACCGCAGCAAAAAGAGGGACCCAGGGACTCCCCGGACGGCCTTTCCAGAATTCCGCTCCTCAGCGCGGCTGACGAGGGCCGTGCTGACGTGGTCCGCTTGCTACTGGAAGCCAGGGCGGACTGTGAGGCTTCTCGCAGGGTGTTTTCAAGGGTTCCTTTTTAATGGGGTCTATAGGGATTACTAAAAGGGGTATTGTTAAGCCCCTAGACTAGGCTTCATAATGTACTGTATAGAAAAACCTACTGTTTTTTGGTTAGTAATTATCTTTTCCGTATGTAGGTCCACCAGCGAAGCATTTCAGGGCTCGGTCTTGCACAGAGTTTTGTTGGTGAGCACCTTGTGACCATGAGGCATACAGGGATTCTTAGATAGTGAACGGGGTAACTTTAAACTTTGTGGCCTTATATCTTAGCTCTATCTTAGAAAGTTTGAACTTTTTTGGGGTTGTTGAAGAAAAGAGGATTAAGGCACACGATGATAGGGTTTAAGTTGTAGAGTTCTAGGCCATGCAGGGTTTAGGCTTAAGGGTTTAGTGCCTGATGGTTTGGCGGTGGTATGGAAGATGATCCCGTCAAGAGTATATCTTTACTGTAGGGGCCTCATATGATTACCTATATTACCTATACTATAGTATGCATTACCTATACAAACGTATGATGGGCCCCAAGACCCTCTTCTAAGTATTAAGGCCCCTATATTAGGTGCGTATTGGGCCGTAAACATCCGAAGAGGCCAGGGACGATCAGGGCGGCACCGCTCTCATCTGCGCCTGTGATCATCATCATCTGGAAGTGATGGAGTTGCTGGTGCCTTGGAGACCTCCGGGCTGCTTGTGCGGCTTAGGATTTAGGGTTTAGGGTAATAGGGTATATGGGGTTTAGGGTTCCCCTAAGGGTACTAGAAGGCTAGTGCCTGAGAGACCAAGTGACGGATTTAGAAGTAAAACACTTCCGTTAACTATGAGTTCCTACTTGGTACCTGAACTGCTGAGCCCTACCGTAGGGTACATCTCGCCCTTCCCTAGGGCTCCAGTTACCGAAATTTAGTAGGTTACTAAACATATAATGTATACCCCAGTAACCTCCTATTTAGGTAGCTGGAGTCCTATGGCTTAAGGTGGAGGCCGGTGTTGACACCAACGCACCGGATGCGCAGGGCACGACAGCTCTTCATATAGCATCCATGCATGATGCCGTGAACCTGGTACGTTTGCTGCTGGATGCAGGCGCCGATAAAGGTACCTCTGACTATGACGGCCTCACAGCTCTTCACTACGCATCCTTGGAAGGCCCTAAGGGTCCAAATAGTCCTTGTTTATTTTCTTGAGACCTAAAGCGGCCCTAAAGTCCTCTAATAGGGAGTACTTGGACCCTCTGGGAGGGGCCTCAAGTGTGGCCAGCATGCTCCTGGATGCTTTCGGTGAGCCAAGCGCCCCAGACATGAGTGGCATGACGGCTCTGCACTTGGCATGTGAGCGGGGCTATTGTGAGCTGGCTAGCTTGCTCCTGGGGCACAGCACCACTGCAAAGGATGCGAGTGACCAGGAGGGTTGTTCCTCATGGGGATCAGGGTTTAGCGTTCACCATCCTATAAAGCTCCAAGCATAATTACAAATAGCTACGGCACCTAGTTTGGGCTATTTGGAGCCCAAGGGTAAGGGCCCCTTAGTGGGCCATAGGGTCCAAGGTTGATTCTCGCACTCTCATGCTACCAGCTTGTCCTCACCAAGAGTGATGTTTTGTTTTGAGGGTTTAAACTCTGGGTGTCGGGGGGTAGGGTTTAGAGCAGTCTATACAGTGAAAGAAACGTCGGAAGGACGGGCGGACGGCTCTCCACCTCGCTGCCTGGAACGGCAGCGACTGTTTGGTACAACTGCTCTTGGAGAAAGCAGCTGATGCTGGCCTCAGAGACAGCCTTGGCTACACAGCACTTCATACAGCCTCGGAGAGACTTGGTCAAAGTTAAAGATCTTACTTTGTGTTTTCTGGCGCTGCAGTATATTATTCTGAAAAAGGGGTCCTAGGCAGAAGGGTCCCAAACAAGATTCCTTTTGCTTTCCTTCCTAACAGAGCCAGGAGGGGCAGAAGGAAGACGGTGGGCTTGCTGTTGGAAGCCGGGGTGGACCGAAATGCTGTGAACTTCAACGGGGCGACTGCTCTCCATGTGGCAGCTCGTGGGGTGAACCGATCAGAAGCCACGGCAGCACACTTACCCGTCCTGCGATTACTAGTGCAGGCCGGCGTTGATAAGGCCCTGACTGATCGGTCGGGACGCACGGCCCTGGACTATGCATTCAAAGCAGGCTATGATAATGCTGAGATGGTGCAACTGCTGGCCCCAGAGTCCTTCTTTGACTTCCAGCTCCCACCGTTGGGATGACGTGTTTGGTGTCTTTCGAAACCAGGCGAAGGGACATGCGGCATCCAAGACGCGGCGTTGGGAGGTCTGGGTACGAGCCGCCGAGCGCATGTAGAGACGTTCCTGCAGCCAGAACACGGCGTCATCCGGAGCCGTGGGTACTGGAGATGCGCTGGACTGTGAACATCCCATGTCCGTTTTCGGCGCGTGTGTGACACAAAAATCTGCAATAAATTGTCCTTGGCACGCCTAGACCCGAAACCCTAACCCTAAACCGTACTCATATCCCTATACTACACCCGTATGGTAACCCTATACACCCCTTTAAGGAACCTTTTCAAGGAGCCCTACCCTAACTATTCAGGCCCGTACCATGCACTATAGTGAACCTCCAAGTCCAGTGAACGCTGCACTTTAAAGCTCTTCAAGGGTTACTCACCATACCCAGAGACGTCATTAACCCTTAATTGAGGAATATCCTTGAATCACATTAGGGACCCCTACTATAGTATAAGGTATATCACTTTATTGATGGCTTATGGCGTCTTTGGGTAGCCCACAAGCCTTGCACAGTAGTGTTTTTAGGCCCGAAAACCTTGCCCACGGCATGCACATCTTTCCACATGTCTTAGCCAGCCACAGAATTGAAAAGCCACGCGGATGTCGCTGCTATCAAGGCCCATAGGATAGATCTCTCTAAATGCTCGAATCCCAGAGCCGAGCCCGTCTTTCCAAGTTCTTCAACCCTATCCCACCCCTTGCGACTGCAAGCGGCTGCGTCAAGCTTTAGTGCATGATTCTCAGGCGGTGGCATTTCGCTGCGGCCTGGGGGTGGCATGGGCTTGAGGCAGGACTTCTTGAGAGTGAGAGTTGTGTGCAGCCAGAGGCCAGAGAGGGGCACACAGAGAGAGAGAGAGAGAGAGAGACAGAGAGAGAGAGAGAGAGGGAGGGGAGAGAGAGAGAGAGGTGTGGGAGGGGGAACAGCCAACAGAGCGAGCGCTGACTCGCACTGCTGTACTCGTGCCCAGAATGAGCTAGCTACAGTACCTTAACCCACCAGAACCTATTTCTTTGCAGGGTCCCACCTACTATTGGCAGGCTATAAGGTAAGCCTGCACTCAGAAATCCTGGGAGCTCGCTGAAAGTGACGATTTTCGGGTCTGGCCCAGCTAGGAATCATGCTGTCCAGCTCCGAGACCTGCAGCTAGGGTTTAGGGTTCCGATTCGGTGGGAACTGCCTTTAGAGCTCAGGTTAACCAATCATTGAAACTCCAGTGCTACGGGGCAACCATTTTGTCATTTCCAGCTGCCTCGTACATCCGTTACGTGGCGATATCACCTTCAACTCCTTGGTTGCTTCTAGGCTCTCTCCTACAAAGGAGTCCTTCCAGATTCCCTCCTGCCCCCCAAACAAAACGGATTGGTTCTTCCTGCCCACCCTCAACCCTACAGAACCCAAAACCTCAGCATACTACCACACAAATCGTAGACACCAAAACACTTGAACTCTCAACCCTCATCTATACTGGTGCTTAAGGGGCAGTGCGGAGCAGATCCTTAAATTAGTCCAGCTATCTTTTCTTAGGGTCGTCCCTACATTCCCGCCTCCACTCCCGTAAGCACCAGTAGGTGCACCTTGAATGCAGGCCGGGAGGTGGTGGCATTAGCTTGACTGGTGGCCTCAATGGGCAGACACTCCGCCCAGGAGGAGGAGGCATCGGTTTAGGGGTTATCGGGATGCCAGTTTAGGTTCGCTATTGACCCTGCGTAGGGTATTCTTAAAAATGATCATACTTGTTTCGATGCGAACTAACAGTAAGGTATTACGACTGCCACCATGTTTGTGTTTCTAGTATTGTGACTTTTGTTGGTATTGGCATGATCACTGCTTTGTGAAAGCTACGGTGCGGGATTCAGGTTTCAGGGTTTGCGGCGTGCAACCGTACCATGTGTAGGGCTTGGAGCTAGGTGTGCCTGTAATTACTTTAAACCCGAAGCAGTATAGCTGGTGTTTTCCAAGCGTGCAGAACAATCGAAACGATGAAGGATATGATCTAGCACGAGCAACCGTCCTAACACACGAGAGCACTACACGTTCTCAAACTGAGAACGACAGCAGCATGACGGCATGACAGATACATCCATCCATCCATCCATCCATCCATACATACATATGTGCTTTACATGATGTCTAATGGTTCTTTGCGCAGTACACACATAAAAACACACAACCATGTATAAGTTGTTTTCCATGGTAGCTCGGTTTTCGTTATAGAGGCATGGGCTCAATGAAATGAATCTTGAACGTAAGGAGGGCGCAGTGCGATTGGTTGAGGTTTATATGCCAGATGGTATATGCTATGTAACTAAAATCCCTAAGTATGTGGGGAACCAGTGGAACCAGCTCATGTGTTGGTATATACTGTTTCGGCACATGGATCCTTCGAGGCGTGGGTATCGGGTTCCCCGAGTGAGTCCCAGAGTCAGAAGTCGAGTTCATAACCGTTTAACGTTCTTTTTTTTTGGAGGGAGGGGTTCTACGTATCACCCCGAGGGTCCGAAGGAGCCAATAAGTAGCTATTTGGGTTTAGGATAGTAGTTATTAGAGTTATCATTTCGCAGGGTGTATGGTAATTGTTGCCTACACCCTTAGGGTAAGCCCGTAGGATATTGGACCAAGCAAGGAGATTCCCGTTCTTGCCCCTGTCGCAGGCGCAGTCTCTTTGACCGGAACGGTTAAGGAATCGCTGGGGCCTTAAAATCACGTTGCGCAAAGCCTGTCGCTCTTCGTCTACCTAAACAACAGTTTACTGATCAAGTGTCTGCGCATGTATATAAAATATTTTTGTGGGTGTATATACATATATGCATACATCCACATGTAATTATATATATACATATACACACACACATACACACATGCCAAATGTTAATTACGTGACCATCCCAGCAAACCATTTTGAGGTAAATGAAGCCCTGGGGAACCTCAACCCCTAACCCGAAACTGCCAAGAAAGCACCCAGGTAGTACGACCATGCCTACATATGTGCGGCTTTGTCGTCTTTTGGGGGAGGTTCGATTGCAGCCTACCCTAAACCCTTGGCCCTAAACCCTGAACCCTAAGCCCTAAACCCTAAATCCTAAACCCTGAGCCATCCCGGACAGTCGACAGCACAAATCGAAGCATTAAAGCTTGCATTCTTCAACTTGACCCAAACCCTAGCACTCCAAAAAGCCCAAAGGATGTCGTTTATAGGGTTAGAGTCTGAGGGAAACCCCAAAACCTGATCCTGAGCCCTGACGTTGGACACCTTTGCACGGCCGAGGTCCGGTACCGCTGGTTACCCAAAGGAAGAGGCCTTCGCCGATTGCTTCACCCCAACCCCAAAGGTTCCTAAGTGCCTGTATACTGGAATGTAGCGTTTCTACCTTCGGAATTACAGTATGATTTTGGAAAGTACCCCCCCCTCCCCGATTACAGTACCTAGGACCCTTTGGGGCAATGCCTTCGGCAGGGTGTGGGGTTCAGGGTTGTGCTTTAGGGTGCTGCTGGTGGCTTTCCAAAAGCCTCGGACTCTTAAACTTGCCGAAACTCTAAACCCTGCACCCTAGATGCTAAACTCAAAACCCTAAGCCCTTAAACCCGCAGTTGGAAAAGGGCCCATGCAAACAAGCAAAAAATGAGCCCTGTAAACAAAGAAGAAGAACACAGAACCCTCTGACTTCTCGCACGTCAGATCCAGTTGTTGTTCCTTCCTCGTGTATCTGTATAGCCCTAAAGGTCCATGTACCCCGATAGGGTCCTTTCAGGGTACCATAAGGGTTCCTGTAAGGGATCCAGAAGCGTTCTCTGAGGGTCCATGTACCCCAATAGTATGTACTTTGGGTAGCTGCTTTGGGATCATCAACCGAGCGACCCGCAGGCGAGGGCCAGTCATGCAGGCGTTCTTGGAACCCGGTTGTCCAAACTTTTGGGCCGACCAAGTGATGATGTCAAAGACAAGCCAAGGCTTTCAACAGGGAAACAATATCTGACCAGTCCGCCGCTGTTGCAGAGATGATCCCTGTCGGACCATGAGCTGCCGCCTCTTCTTCTGCGGGTCCGGCGGCAGAACATGTCGTGCCATCGAAAGCAGGCCAGTACAAGGTCATCGATGGTACTGTTGATGGACAAAAACCTGCACTACCCATTATAAGGAATATACCATAGTTCCCATAGTTTAGAGTCCTTAGGGTCATGCAGGATTTTGTCCATCAGCAGTATGGCGACGACCCAGAAACTGGCCGACAAGCAGGGTGCCGCTGTGGTTCAGTGGAAACCAGGTCAGGCGAGGGACTGCAAGTGCCTCAAGGACGCAAGCGTGGGGGTTGTCGACGACATGGAGCATTACGGATGGTGATATAAATCCTGCATGACCCATAGTAACGGATATTAAGGTAATGCATGATTTATATCATTCTAAACCCTCAACCCTACCTCAAGCCGGAATAACCTACCTTTTTAAGGACTTATAAGGAAATCATAATAAGGAACCCTAAAAAGGTAGGTTATTCCGGCTTAAGGTAGGCCCTAAACCCTAAACCCTAAACCCTAACCATAAACCCAAACCCCAGTAGGATGATCAAGCGGTCTTGAGAATCAGACGAGGGGTTGGGGGTATCAATACTTGGAGGATCACTGGACTTAGTAAGGGTTCTTGAAGGGCTCCTTAAAGGGATCTATAGGGTTCCTTAAAGGATCTATAGGGTTTAGGGTTTAGGGCACTACTTGGGGGATCATAGGACTTAGTAGGTAAGGTTATAAGTACCCAACTTGGGGTTGTAAGTATAGTTACCCCAAGAATAGCTCTAGTTGCCAAATCCCGTGATCCTTTGAGTAAGGAGTGGTTTAAGGGTTTAGGGAAGCTTCTACGGCTTCTAGGTTATGTTATGGAGGAGCAGTTTCCGAAGTGAGAGCAGGAATGGATTCAGAGGGTTTACAACTGCGATATTCGAAGTTCCACTTCTTTTCAGGATCCCAC